AAAAATCAAATTATCATCCAGCAAGGGGCTTAAGGAAGGGAAATCAGTAGGCAGCGTCCCCATGGTGTGGCTTCAGATTGAGTTTTCATGTAACTGGAACTAGACACCTGTTTAAGACAGCACTGAGTTGAGTCGAGAAATAAAAAGGAGGCCCGTGCTGTAGAGATGGTTAAGGATGTGTGCATTGTTGAGTAATTCTTGTAAGACCACTCTGGTGGGTAATACAGGTTAAGGATAAGAATGTTTGCAGGACTGGGGGCTGCTTTAGGCTCGTGTTAATGACTGGATGTGATTCTGCTCTTCAGTGTGTCTGCGTTTGTCTGGTTTCTTATGGAGGATGGATTTCCCAGCTGGAGCTGTGTCACGCAGTGTGTGTGTGGTGGAACTACAAATGCCCTGATAACCCAAATTCTGCTTCTGGAGTCGAGGATCAATATGGGACATTGATATCCTAAGACACATTGAAAGCTGACCTTAGTTGTTTTCCATAAGCTGGAAGATGAGGGAGACTTCCAGCACAAATATGCACCCACCTGAAGTGTTCTTCCCCTGTGTGCTTGTTGGTTTGAGGCTCCGCGTGCTTAGAAAAACAAACTCTGCACTGAGGCTTCTGAGTCTGCATTATAAAATAAAATGGAACGTACACTCCCGATGGTAAAATATTATTTGCTAACGTGTTCCAAAAGCTATGCTAGGCAAAAGGCAGTAAAAGTATCCTAAAAAGCTGGATGTAAAATGTAGCAGATGTGCTTTTCTGTTCTGGTGAGAAAAGCACCTACTTACTGGAATGAATGGGAGACTGGAAGGAGGATGTGATGGTTACAGTATTTTCTCTTTTGGGAAAGATGAGATGGAGGAGAAGTTCTATTAAATGCTTAGTTATGCATTTGTAAGTTGGAAAGCATTCTTTTGTTCATGCTTATAAATGTGATTTGTGCACCTCCCAGACTTGCACTGATCTGCAGGGAGAGATGGCTCGGGTTGGCATTACCTGTATGGCACAAGGGTACAGCTCAGGATCTGACAGCTGTGGAACCTTACTTCTGAATGCTTCCAGGCAGCCCAGGGAGGAGGAACAGAGAGCAATCCTATATTTGGAGATGGAACTTTTTCCAGCCATCAAATCAAGCATTCTGCTCCTGAGATAAAGCAGAATTTAGAGCAAACAAAAGGTTCTAGAATGGATGTAACCAGAGCACCGCGTTTTTGCAGCCCTGTCTTGCACACAGCATTCCCAGTTAAGAGCCCAGCCTGTGTTTGTGATTTAGTTGCACCCACCTGCACTGTTTTAAACCTCTTGTACTGAACATTTCAATAGGCTGTCCTCCTTACTCCAGACATTCCTATCGCGGTGAAATGGGCCATCCTGTAAACGAGGGTTACACTGAATCGGAGCAGCCGTGCAAAGCAGAGCTGTGCTGACGCAGTGCCCCGTGCCCTTCAGACCCGAGTCAGCATCGCCAGCTCCCATTGCTTCTCGGCACCCTGTGCTCCCACGGCGTTCTTGGCTCTGCTGTTGGGCTCCAGGAATCGGGGAGCTCTTCGTTTCTCAAATACCGTTGTGTGCTTTCAAAACCACGGCTGCGTGTTTGCATGCGAGCAGCTTGCTTTGTGAAGGGCTTAAATGTGAAGTGTTTGTCAACAGGGGCGTTGATTTTTCTGGCGCGGTTGTGAACGAAACTCGCTGAGATTGCCGGGCGAGAGGAAAGGGGGAATTTTCCTTTCCCCTCTGACACTGATAATTTTAACCTACGATTTGTTCCCTTGGGGCACCTGAAAGATTCGGAACTCTCACGAATTCAAGAGCGAGAACGAAGTGCTTCCGTCTCAGTGCCTTCATTGGCCGTAGCCTGACTTTCCTCCTTCACTTTTTCGCCATAAAGGAAAGGGAGGAGATTATAGGAGTTTTAAGGTTATGCTTTCAAGGAGTTATGTATATATTGAAGATAATTCTTTCCTTCCTCCTGGGAGCTCCTAAGGCGTGGTGAAAGTTGATTCTGGTGCCTAAAATCTCTCGAGGAAGGTGAGCATCTTGCTTTACCTCATCCAAGCAGGGCTCACCTGTCCCACTGAGCCCGGCGTGCGGCACCGAGAAGAGCCAGAAGGAAACGATCAGCGCTCCCTGAACTGTCGCTTTTTTCTTCCTCTCTTCCTCCTTAGGATTCGGGCGATTCCCGAATTGGGTTGGGGTTCTCCCATGGGGGCTGCGCGGCTCCATTCCCCACCCCGGGCTGCCCTCCCCGAGCCTCGCACTCGCTTCTGCCTCTAAATTCTCTTTGGAGCGAGTTGTGGAGTGGAGTTGCGCGGTGGCGATGGGCTCTCGAGGCTTTAGTCTGTTTAAGAAAAGCTTTCTGTTTGTTTCCCCCATCCTCCTCCCCCAAGCTCTCCTCCGTCACGCTGTTCGTGGTGCCGTTTACCTGTCGCTTGCCGCTGGAACGGGCTCCCTTAGGCGATCCGCAGCGGCTGCACCGATGTCAATGCTGATTTCGCTTGGAGCGCTTACAGCGGGAGAGGCTGAGGGATTTGCTTTCTGTGAACTGTGTCTAACCCGGCTGCTCGGAGTAGGGATTCCAGACTCGGAGTTCAGGATTTAGAAGTGCTTAAGTGCTGCATTATTGAGATACGTTGTGAAGGAGAGAAACTTTATATTGAGGGTGAAGGAAATCCCCCTCCACCCCTCCGGGATCGCCCCTTCTCCCCGGTGCGGGGCTGAGCCCACGATCCCCCCATTGAACAGACACTGCGTGGGGATCCCGGGCTGCCCCACGGCCACAGCCCCGCTGAGGCACCGGGGAACGGCTCCACTCGTTTGTCCCTGAAGTGCCGAATTCTGGTGGCAGCTGTTCGGGGCGAGGGGAGCGCGTCTCCTCTGACCCGCGCCGCTGCCCCCTGACCCGCTATGAATCCCTAAAACCCCCCTCCCCCGGGGCCACGGCACACGAGTCCCCATTGTCCCCAAAGCCGGCACGGTCCCGGAGCCCACCGGGCTTTCCTGAGCGTCTCGCTGGGGTTGAATGAGCAGCTGCCTTCAGTGCGACCGGAGCGCCTCTGACGCGGTGCGGACTCGGCTGTATCGCTGCGAGCGAGAGACTTCGGCTCTTAGGAAACACTTTCTCCTTACGAATACATCAACCGAGGTTCGCTCGAATTCCGCCGCCGCCCCCTCCCATCCCTGCCCCGACTTTAGGAATTGATGCGGAAACGATCGGGGTGGCTTTGCCAAAAACGCTGCTGGTACCAAGGGGGGGAGTTGAGCCGAGGGGACGGACCCGTGCCCGTTGTGGGGTGGCAACAAAAAGTCCCTTCAGTTGTACGTTTTATTCTCTCATAGCTTTGCTGGGAACAGATCGACCTCTTTTCCTAAGTTTTAATCTCGGAGCCGTGAGGTGCGGATTCTCAGCCGCCCTGTAGCAGCACCGAACTGCTGCTGCTTTTATTCAGTAATGCCCCTCTGCTGCCCTGCTCGAAGCGCTCGTTGCGCACGGATCGCTTTGGGGAGGTGCGTTCGGGTGGTAAATCTCCTTAACAGAGCCGGCGTGGGATGGATGGGTTCATCTCCTGCCATATCTGTCACTCATGTGGACAGAATAATTCAGTCCCGGCTTCGGGCTGAATTAAGGGCGCGTTTCTATGAGAACCTTATAGGAAGAGTTTTATTTGTGATGTTTGTTGGTAATTTTTTTTAGGAGAGCCGTATCAAACATCGCAAAAAATGTATCGGTCTGACACGTGTTACAAAGGTGGCCCCGAGAAATGGACATGGAAGCAGGAGCTGAAAACACTGCTTGAATTTCGGTCTGAATCTCATCCCGTTATAAAATAAAGCGGGTTGGAGAGGAGCTGCGCATAATGAATGGAGGAAATCCTCGCGCTGTCCCTTTAACTACCGAACATCTGATTCCCTCATCTGGCAGATGGTCTCTGAGCACAGATTTGCATTCATTGTCTTGAAATCTGTTTTCGCGTTGGTGTTATATGGATTTCGGAGGCAGATCTGTGCCCAGATCAGAACACAGAAGGAAAATAGCAGCGAGCCCAAACGGCTTTATAAAGTAAAACCATAGCGGCCCGCTGTGCAGCTCCGCTTTCCTTTCCCGGGGGATGTTTTCCTGCACCGCTCTACCGGGAATTATTCAGGCTCGAGCCGACAGCCCCGCGCGGGGCGAGTGCTGCGGGCGTGGCGGCCTCTCGTGCCCCGTCCCCCCACGCAGAGCCCCCTCCGACCGTTTCGGGGTGCGTGGCCGTGTCGTTTTCAAATATCGCGCCCGACAGCCATCAGCCATCAGCTGCTCTGCGATGCCGCTCCTGCGGGGCGCTGCGCTGCGCTGCGCTGCGCTGCGCTGCCCGCTGGGACGCCGCGGTTTCGCCCCGCGCCGGGACGGCCGCGCTCCGGGGGTTGATCGGGGCCGAGCGGCTCGGAACTGCCCTCAGTCCTCCAATCGGAGCGCGACATGCAAATGAGCATCCCTTATATGGCAGCAGGCCCCGCCCCCTTCCCGGCGCGCCCGCTCCCGGCGCTGTAACCCATTCATGGTGCCGGGTGCGGAGCGGCGGCTCTTCCCGGCGCGGTGTCATCAGCCGCCGCAGCTCCGCTCTTCTTTTCCTCCCCCAAATCATCCCGATACTTTTTTTTTTCTTTTTTTTTTTTTTCCTTCTGGATCAAGCAGCCATCAGCCCCTTCTCTCAGTGTGTTTCTCGAAACAGGTTGATCCTTGTTAACGGCCGTCGGTTTCTGGATGCGATTCCCTGCGTTTGGAAGATGACGATGCCAGGAGAGACCGAATCGGCGTGACTCACTTTGCGAGAGGAGAAACTTTTTCCCCCATTTGAAGGCACTCAAACACACGCAGCACTTAAAGCTGAAGTTGGTTTCAAAGCTGAAGTCCTCTGCTTTCCCGGGATTTGTCTGTGTCAATTTTCAGAAGCTGCTTATTTTTTCTTTTCCTCCTCCCCGATCCCCCCCGAAGGAAAACTGTTGCTCTTTGGAATAGACTTCTTAAATGTTTGGGATCCAAGATACTTTGGGAAGAGGACCGATTCTGAAAGACAAATCTCTGGGTTCTGAGATGGATTCCGTCAGGTCCTGGGTCAGAAACGTTGGGGTTGTGGATGCAAATGTAGCAGCACAAAGGTAACCGGAGCGGTTTTCTTCCCCTTCTTCCCTCTTCTTTTCTTTTCCTTTATTCCCCAATTTCTGAAGCAGCCTTTTCTTTCCTCTCTCTTATTTGCATTTGATATCAAATTGATTTTCTCCCTTCCTGTCCCCCCACCCCCCTCTTTCCCCCTCAGACTTCTCTTGTCAGTGAGGGTTCAGTACAGGCAGAGATGGGGACACAGGAGAGCATCAGGACTCCTCAGTTCCACTGCAGCTCAGATATCAGACATCGGCTCGTTCCCCACCTTTTTTTTTGCTCTACACAAGAGCAGTGTCAGAGGGAATCTCTTCTTCCAGCGATAACAACGACTCCTTCCCACTTTCCGAGCCACGCAGCAGAATAGGAGCAGCCCACGTTTAAAGATCAACTCAAACGCAGATCTTCTCAACCCTCCTCCCTCCCCTCGTCCCATCTTGTTTTACTTAATTCAAGTGTCTGTCGCTACCGTGAGCGCCGGCGAAATGTTAACCCGTGGATGCGGGGAGCGGTAACAGCACGGCATGCCGCGCTCCCACTGCTCGCACCTCGCCTGTGCTTTGGCCCTTGGCTTTGTTCAATTATTTCTTGCTTTGGTCCGTTTAGTATTTAGCATCATCCCCCGCGCACCACCTTGTCCCATTTATTTTATTTTATTTTATTTTATTTTATTTTATTTTAAGCCTCTCTCCAGCCAAGTTGGTGCAGGACGGCTGCTCTGCTCTTTTCCCTTCTAGGACGAGATGATAAAAACTCTTTTAACTAACATCTGTATCTTTCTCTCATCACTCTCTGGGTACACAAACGGGAGGGGAAGACTGAATCAGCCCCCCGAGTAGGTTGGGTTTTATTTCATACAGAGGCAAAGCGAAGGGCAGTGGATGGGACTCCAAAACGAGAGAGGGACCTTTCAGAAACAGCACAGCCACGGCCCGATCCGTGAGCGAGGTTTTCTGAGCACCATGGGAGGAGTTATGGGAGTTTTGTAAATGTCGATAGATGGTTTAATAAACGGTGTGAAGGGGGGAGACGTTTATTAAACCGTCACCATCCACGGGGAAAGCGAAAGGAAAAGGAAACTGTTCCTTTGGAGCCTCCAATTCGCGGCAGCGGTCGCACGGGGCTTGGGGGAGGGGGGCTGAGCAGAGCTGGGTTATTTTTGAGAGCGGTAACGAAGCGAGAAATCAAAGCCCCAAAGTGGGCGCAGTTGTGGCGGATGCGGTGAGTTCACACCGAACCTATTTGGCAATGGAAAAGGCAGGAAAACATCTGCAGTTCTGCGAAAGAGTTGAATGCTTTTTGCCAGCACAGCTCTGAAGGCTGAAAATTGAACGGTTCTGACTCCGGGCTCGTCCGGCTGTTAGATTTAACCCGTGCGTTCGGTGCTGCGAGGTGCTGCTCTGCACCCCTTTGCGCCGTGTTTTGGAGAGGGAGTTGTGACCCATTTCGCTGCCCAACGCAGCTCGCGGTGCTGCGGAGACACAAAAGCGTTTCCAGCATCCCGAGCTGGGAAACATCGCCGCTTTTTCCGCGGTCGGTGGAGAAGATGAGGGAAGGGGCAAACGAACCCAGATCCCCTCTGCTTAATTCAGAAGAGCCGAGCAGCACTGCGAGGTCCGTCATTAAAGACTCCGTGACAAACTTCGCTGCTGAGCAAGGCAGATGTTGTGCCGGAACGGGCTGCCTCTCTCCGGAGTGTCCTCGGGCGGTCGGTCCGCTCGTAGGAACCGCTTTCAGTTCGTTTGTGTTCTGCAGGAGAAGCAAACGAGGGTGGGCTGTGCGGCCATCAGAGAGCCTGGAAGAGCTGTGCTGTCTGCACTTCCCACTTCGGGGGGCAGAAATGTGACAGCCGGGAGGAAAACGGGTAAAGGAGGCAGGAAAGCAACTATTGCGTCCAGCAGGAAAGCAAAGGGTAGAGTTTGTCAGGAAAAGTACTATTGCATCCAGCAGAAAAACGAGTAGAGGAGAGGCAGGAAAACAACTATTGCGTCCAGCAATTTTAAAAATTATTTCTTGCGAATTCTTTTCGTCCTCCGAGCACAGCTCGGATGCGCGGGGCTGCGAGTGCCCCAGTGGCACCGAATGGGGCAGAGCCCTTTCCCGGCGCTGCCTCGGAGCCGCAGCCGAGCGGCTGTTCTCACCTCGCCGGGCATCCCGCTCCGCTGGGCGCTCCGGGGCTCCCCGAGCTCCTCCTGCCCCGTCTGGCTGTTGCTGTGCACGACCTCTTTGTTTCTCCCCTCACCCCGTCCCGTGTGTTTCCTCCACAGCGGCGTAGCTCTGTCCAGAGCCCACTTCGAGAAGCAGCCGCCCTCCAACTTGAGGAAATCCAATTTCTTTCACTTCGTTCTGGCGCTCTACGACAGACAAGGGCAGCCCGTGGAAATAGAGAGGACGGCTTTTGTGGACTTTGTAGAAAACGATAAAGTAAGGCCGCTTATCTTTCTTTTCTCTCTTTAGACTGAATACCTGTTGTACCACCCGGCACCGCGCGGCCGGCTCCTGGGGAAGGGTTCAGGTGTTTGCAAAGCTTTCAAGCCCCCACTGCGCCAGCAGCACAATGGGAGTTTCCTACATTATCTAAAAACAGAATAAAAATTTTCATTTGGGGAGAGAGGTGGTGGTGGGGGGTGCGACACAAATCCTTTTTTACTTTGATTAATTCCACCGGAGCAGCCAAGTTTTATTAGATCCCCGACAGGAGCGGGATGTGACCTGAGTTACGTCCTGTCATCCACCGTGCTGTGTGCTTCTCAAGGCTCCACAGTCGGTGGCAGGGCTGGAAAAGCATTTGCTTTTGTGCTTTAAATCCGCACGTGAAGTATTTTGCGTCGCTTCGTGCTGTTGTTTTTACGATCACTTTTCTGAGTTGTGGAAAAGATGATTGTGATTGGAAAATGTGCTCAGAAATGTACGTCTTCTAGGGAATGGAGGGGGAAAGAGGAAAGAAAAACACTGTAAAGTAACCTGCGTGAAATAAGTATCAGTAGTGACAGCGCTGCGAAGTAATCGAACACATTTAAAGCAAGAAAAACCACCGAGCATTTCTGCTATCAATCTGCTTGATGTTAACTGCCTCAAAGCGTCCCCCTCCATCGCGTGCTGTATTGCCTTGAGAGCGTAATAGCGACTAAGAGAGGAAAAGAAGTTCTTGAACTCCCACAGAAGGAGATGCCGGCGGTATTTTGTAGTTCCTCCTGGTCGGTCAGGAGGTGAATTTATCCCAATCACTGAATTCATCACTTCAATGCACTTCATTTTGGCTCCCACGGCAATGATCAGCTCTCGCGTTTGTGATGCGCCCGATAAGTTGTTGGAGAACTGAGTTTTGATTCTCTTTCAGGAGCAAGGCAACGAAAAGACCAACAACGGCACGCATTACAAACTGCAGCTCCTGTACAGCAACGGTGAGTGCGCTCCGCTGCTCCTCCCGCAGGCGATGAACCCGGGCGGGATTTGCAAGCGCTGCCGCTGTGCTTTCTGAAGGACAGCGGAAACCCATTGGGGTTCCCTTCCGTAGCATCCCCTCGTCGTCGGGCTGAGCTCTGCTGTGCGTCGGTGGCTTTGGGGAGGGAACTGCAGGAAACGAAACCCAGCGGCGTTTAATGGGGCTCCGTTAAAGTGCCGCGTGTTGTGCTGCGCTGTGACGGACGTGTCGGCGCTAATCGCTCCTGTCTCGCTGTAGGTGTCAGGACTGAACAGGATCTGTATGTCAGACTCATTGATTCCGTCACCAAGCAGGTGAGCGTGGCTCAAATGCCCCCACTCCATTTATCCGTGCTCTTGTTTGGTTTTGTCTCCTTGGCGTTTTATTTGCTAATAAACTTTTATGTTTTTATGTCATTCTTGTTTTACTTTTTTCCCCTCTGTGCGTTACAAGCTCCTATCCACTCCTTACCAGTATTCCTGTATAAGCTGCTCTCCTGTTCCAAAGGGCTTTTGGGGAAGGCATCTGTTTGCAAACCGTGGTGAAAAATAGAAAAAAGCACCTCCAGTTTGGCTGTGACCAGAATGAAGTGACGCCCAAATGCTGCCTGCTGACCCCTTGTCTTCATTTTTGTAGCCCATAACTTACGAAGGACAGAACAAGAACCCTGAGATGTGCAGAGTGCTGCTCACCCATGAAGTCATGTGCAGGTAAGATGCTTCTGTTCGTGGCCGGTGGTTGCACCGACGCTGAAATGGCCAATGAGCTCATAGGTAGGGTTTGTCTTTATTTTATTTTTTGTCAGAGTGATTCCATGTCACAATACTTCTTATAAGAGCCCTTCCTTCGTGTTATTTTAACTTATTAAATTAACAGAATCGACATTCTTTAATTTTGCTTAGTTGTTCTCCTTCCCAAAAAATCCATCCAGGCAAGAAAGCTCTCAAACCAAAACCCAAATCCTTCCTATACTTTGTAAGCCATACTTAAAGGGTTTGTGTCTTTTAATTACACGTGAAAATTGGGTCTTTTTTAATGTTATAAATTAGAGGGTGACATGAGGATGTTTTTAATATCATTTTTGTAACCCTTTTTGCATGTACCTTATATACTTACATCATACTTCCATGGCAACTTATTACTTACCCTGTTCTCACATCATTAGGGTTTTTCCAATAAATATAACGATGCAAACAGTCAACGCTCTCAGATTAAAATACATTAAATTCTGCATGGTGTTCTTACGTGAAATGAAAAGCAAAACCCACCTTAGCCTGCACCGAAGGCGCTGTGTGATGGATGGCATTGGTGGGGTGGTGAGGTCACTGCTCTGCGTGCTGCTGGTGGCCACGTTGTAAAATAGTCTTCTGACTATTAGGGATATTAATAGCCTTTATTTATTATTTTTTTTTACAGGCTATTTTTTTTATTAGTGACTATTAATAGAGTGGTAAAAGCGACGTGTTTGGGCCGACTCCTTGTTCAGAGAAGGTCTCAGTGCTTAAAGAGGAATAGTTGGTGCAAGTAGAATAAGAATCGCATAAAAGCACAGCGCCTGTTTTGCTCCCACTATTTAAGATGAGCGTTGTTGCTTTCCATCAGCATTGTGAGATGCACAGTGTGTGCTCTACAAAGAGATGCAGCAGCAAAAACCCACTGGTGCTGTTCCCTTCCGGCACACCGAGAACTTGTGCGCACGTTTGTACACTCGTGCTTTCACTGCTTGTGAAAGTCCACTTGTGCTGGGTGAGAGACACAGAAGGAACAGCCTTGTGGTTTCTGTGCTATCAAATCACATTGGCACACTTGGCCTTTATCTGCTTTTCCTCTTTGCAGGCAGGTTCTGTTCCAGAACTTAAATTATCTCAGCCGACGCCGTCCCCTCAGATGCACTTCTTTAAATGAAAAGGAGTTTCTTTTCCTTCCGTGCTTCTTCTCCATGGTTTCCAAGTGTGAAACTCTGTTCATCTCTTTACACACCTGGCCTGTGCTGGTGCCTGGAAGCACACCCAGGGCTTGATTTCAGCTACCATCCTAAAACACAAACAGTCATTCAGATTACACTCAACTTTCTGGCTTGATCAATTAGCTGAGGAAGAATTACAACTCGGGGCGGCCTTTCCACATGAAACACTTCTCATTCCATGCTTCGTGTCCTCATCAAGACGTTCCACTTTAAAGGTCTTGTTTTCTGAAGCGTGGTGCTGTCCCAGCAAGGCCTGACGCCCAGCGCTTTGCGTAACGCCCAGGGAACCGATCCGACTCCACTTAAACCTGACATTTCATTTTCTTTCTTTTTAAGTGCGATAATCAAATGTTCCTCATTGTGTGCTGCTTAAGTGGCAGCATCAATTTTTAAAGCCCCAGTTCGGCTTGCAATCGTAACTGTATATAAAAATTTAATGCACTGTACCCGCTCTGCTGTCCAAATTGATGCCTACTGTTTTTATAAAGAAGGGTCTGTCTGGCTGCCTGCTCCCCTCCTTCCCATCCCTGCTAGTTGAAGGTAGGCTCTTTCTTTTTTTTGCTATTTTTTCATATTTTTTATATATGTTCACAACGCAGACGTATTTTTTTGCTGCATTGAGATGAGTGCACACGAAGCTCCACATCTCCCACTCAGACAGTGACAGATGTGTGCTGAGCAGCGGGGTTGTCTCAATATTGATACGGCTGCGCCGATCTGTCATACCCATTTCATACCCATTGGAAGTTAAGCTCTCAGCTCCAATAATTAGCGCTTTCCGCGAGAGGGAGAGGTTTTATTACTTATTTATTGGCCGATCTGAAGGAGGTTTTATTTTTTCCCCCCATTTGGGTCATAACAGCCCGTTCCATTGGGCGCATGTCTCCCAAACGGGCGGTAGATGGAAATCAAAGCTCCCCTCTCCCAGAATAACTTTTTTTTCCTGTCCTTTTCTTTTCATTTCTTCTCCCAATTACCAACGCGGAGGAAGCCGGCAAGCCCTCCCCTACGCCCTCAATGCTCAGAGGGTTAAAAGGTATTATAATTCGAACAGAAGTAGTCTCAGGGTCTACAGCTGGCTAATAACAGAGCTGCATTGAGCGCAAGCGAGCCCCACAGCTGTGACTTTCGCCACAAGGCTCGGAGCAGACAGCAGCTCTAATCAGCTGGGCCAGGCGGCCGCTGGGGCCCGTGGCTTTATCGGCCAGATGGTGTGAATTTAGACACTTTTGTTATGCAATTGCAGGGAGGAGTTGGGGAGAAGAAAACAAAACAAAGGCCACCATGCTGCGAGCTTATTTGAGTTTGAAATTAGAGACAGATTTTTTTTTTTTTTTTTTTTGCGGGGGGGGGGGGGGGGCTGGGAAGTTGAGGGTTGAATTTTAAAAGCATTTTAGTCAAGTTTTTTCCTGGGGGGGGAGAAGGGTGTAAGTTTGCAAGTTTGCCTCTGAGATGAACCCTATGGGGTTGTGGGGTCTGGTGCTGCTTGCAAGAGTTTTTGGGTTCTGTGTTTGCTTGTAGTTTTGTTTTCAGGGCTGTTGGTACTGAAAAACACAGAAGAAGTTAAATAGGAAAGTGCTGCAATGGAAAATGTGTAGGAAAGAAATCTTTGGTCCTTAATATCCTTGCTTTAAGGAAATGAACACCTGTAAAGTTATGTCCCTAAAGCAGTGTGGAAGCAGAAGCTGAAGTGTTGGCATATTTCAGCAATAATCAATTCCAGGATAGTCCTGTAGGCTCGGTCTTGGACCCACCAGAATTTGGGATTTTTGCCATTGACTGAAATTGAAAGGAGTCGATTCTGTTCGGCAGCACATGTGAAACAAACCCCGTGCAGCTTTAGGAGTCAGGTGCAGCAATGAAATATTTGGAGATTTGGGGTTGAAAGATCTGAGAGATACGTCTGCTAAACCTTCAGGCTCAGACTCCCTTAGTCCTCATGAGGTGCTCTGATGGACCTCTGCAATGGTCCGTCGCTGGGAAGGAGCGACTGCTCTGCATCTTTGTGTTTGTTGTGGCCCCAGAAGTACGGATGGCTCAGGGGTGGCAAAGATCTGCTATGAGGGTAGTGATAAGCGTGTAGATATTGGCGAAATATTTGGAAAACTTTAGCCATGAGCTGTGGTTTTAGAAGGAAGAAGTTTGAAGTATTACCAAACGTATTGTTCCCGATCTCTGATAGCTGTGCCAGCTATGCAATAAGACAAGATGCACTTATTACAGAACCCAGCCCTGCTGCACTCTGATCTCACATAATTCATCCTAAACACTATGCCAGCACATGGCATAGGGGATGAGATGGACAAATGTGCTGCTGGTTTATTCTGCCCAGACAATGCTGTGGCGTAGGGCTATCAAATATACTTTTGTTACGACCATCTGCATAAGTTCTATGGCTAAAGGATACCTCACGTAGCATTGCTGCAGACAGACAAAATGTCTGCTAAAAAAAAAAAAAGAAAAAAAAGTTGAACTCAATATTTTTTGGAAATACTTTCCCTTGTTTTATTGGAGCAGCACAGGAACCAGAAGGCGTTTTGTTCCCAGTGTGATTTCCAATGCATTTTAACACTGGGCATGTCAAAAGTCATGGCAAATTTATGTTCCTCTGAGCTACTGTTTTCTGCTGTCTTTTTAGCACGAAGAAAAAAAAAAAGAGGCAATTCTATATAAACAATCATTTGGCAGAGAACTGCATTGAAGATGCACTTAAATAAAGCAAAGTTGAGAGGAGGAGGGATTGGAGAAACTCCTAGCTAGCATGAATTACCATAGGTGCACCGAAGCCGATGGAGCTATGACAATTTACAGCAGCCCCAGGCTCTGCCCCAGGGATTTTTAAATATTTAGCATCTCCTTTTATTTTAAAAGGACTGGCATCGATGAGTAAGTGCAGGTTTGGGGCAAGGGGAACGTGTAGAGATGTTGGAATGGGGAGAGCTGCTGTTCACATGGCTCTATTGGATCTCGTCGTGCCCAGCACGCGAATGGAAGATCCTGCTGCACTGTAACTCATGGAGAAAACACTCCCACTTGAATAGTTTCCATACCCACAAGAGGTGTGGGGCTTTTTTTTTTTTTTTTTTTTTTTTTGGTCTGAGTGCTTATTTTAAGTATTAGAGTTGAATATTCATGTAAAAGAAAAAAAACCTGCTCTTTCATATTTTATCCCAATTTCAGTGAATTCGAGCATCTTGTCTTAACTCCTCTGCTTGGAGTTGTTCTAATGCCTAAAACAGTGCAGTGGATTTAGGTTGAGTATGATTCAAGTATTGTGTGAACATACTCAACTCCTATTGTACCACTGTATGAAAAACCAGAAATATTTCTTGGTTCCATAGGCGTACATTTGAAAGACCTCAGCAATGGAAGGAACCTCAGATTTGATCTGGTAGCTCTGAGATGTGGGGGTTCAGAACAAATGAGTGGATCCTTAAAACTTCAATGGGTTCTAGTGCTGCTCTAAGACAAATGTTTAAAACAGAGTCATTCAGAGCACACTCATTTTGTTTATATAGATGGTAAGTGCCAGGGGCACCATTTGCATCAATGGGAACGTCCATGCAAATCAAGCAATGAACTGGCTCTTTGTTAATTTTTTTAATTATTATTATTTTTTTTTAAAGGAAAGTAAATGCAGCATTTCTGTCCCTTCCCTGGATTTGCTTTATTCATGTTGCTTTCATCAGAGAGGGTTATCACTTTTATGCAGTCCTGCAGGTGGCTGCTCAGTATGAAAGGTGTGTAAATTCAGGATTGATTGGAAGGGCTCATCACTGAGCCCATGGCAAGGGGATTTACAGACAAATGCCAATGTTAGCGATCTCTTTGGATCCTCAGTGTGACCCAACTGTATTGCTGAAGCTTTTTTTTTGGTAAGCATAGATTCTAATAAATTTGTAGATATTGAGTGAACAACAGTTTGGTTATTGAAATGTAAGAAATTGTTTTCTCGTAGTCGGGCTGAACACCTTTGGATGGATTGACTGTACAAAACGTGTGATATTAATGTCTGTAATGTCGTGTTGACATCTGTGAATCATTTATAAGTCTTCTGTAAGTGCTGCCTTAGTGTGACCACTTTGTGTTTGCCTTGGGGATGCTGGAGCAGATGGAAGGGAGCCGACTGCCCAGCTCCAGCCAAAACCGACTGGGATTTGGGCGCCCACTTCTTGTAGCTCTTCTCCCTTCATAATCGTAGCCAGAAATCTCTCAGTTGCTCTTCCAGGTGCACGTTGAGTCCTGAAGCTTCTTGGAGGAGACCTGGAGCTCATTGCTTTGCCTACCAGATGTCGTAGTGGTCTTTCAGTCTTGGTTTTCTTCCTCTCTTTAGTCGGTGCTGCGAGAAGAAGAGTTGTGGCAACAGAAACGAGACTCCATCGGACCCCGTGATCATCGACAGGTAGGAAAGAATTCCTTATTTTTCCACAAAGTGACTCCTGTGTGTAGGGATTGATGGTTCTGTCACTGTCTGCTGTCTGGGGATACCTGTGCTTTGTTTATCATTAAAACCTGGTCACCTCTGGTCCGCCTGGGCTTGGACGAAATGGAGTTCAGTTTTCTCAGTTATGTTCCACGTGCCCCATTTTTGTTGCAGTTAAGAATTCTGTGGATGTATCTGGAGTATTTCCTGCTCACCAGTTATGTGTCCAAACGGATCATGGAGAGGATAAAGCTGGGAGCAGCCTGGCAGCTTCAACAGCATTCTTTCACAACATAACAATATTCCCCAAGAAATGCAGGGAGGAAGGAAGGGGTAAAGGCAGACAAGCAGCGTGTTAGCAAGGATTAAAACAGATGGCCTGGGGATTGTGAGTGATTTTATATGCAACAACTTCATATATGACTTAGTTCCAGGTCCAGGCCTGGATTCTACTTGCAGTTTTTGGGTAAAAAATCCTTAAATGGGGAGAGCAGCAGTTTGTTCAATCACAGATTGGTACATTCAAAATTGTCAGTATTGATGGAAGCTGAGGAAACCAGCCTGTGGAATTCAGTGACTCAAAGTACTTTTTGATTTGGAGTTCAGCAAAGTGAAAAGGGAAAAAAAAAATTAAAGAGTAACAGAGCTCTTGTAATCCAAGATTTCAAGAAGGAAAATAGTAAATAAGACAAGGTGGGAAGAAACCTTTTTTCCCATACGGATTTTTCTATGGTAAATGTTTTAAAGAGTTTCTTCTCCCCGGAGCAGCTGGCATCAGGGGCCTGAGCAGAGCTGATGCTGGGATGGACTGACTCAGATTCATTTTCTATGTCTGTATGTGTTTGGCATCACCTGCCTACATTCTGATAGGTGTTATCTGTCATAATATTTATTGTGAATTTGACCTGGCATCCAGAATGGTCAAGCTGGATTGAAGGAAGGTCTACAATTATCTCCTCCACTTTTCCATTGGGGAGTTAATGTAGTTTGTTCGGTGCTGTGGTGGAGTTGCTCCCACTCCTGGACTCCACTGTTCTCCTTTTATTATTCTACACTACAAGTCGTAAGCCAAAGTCATGGGCCAAAGCTGCCGCCAGCCAACTTAGCTGTCTGTGCATGGGGGTGGTGGTGGGACCATGTCCCAACTAACAACAGATAGGAAAGGTCAAGATGATGTTATCATATGAGTTTTCCAGCAAACTTCAGTCTGTCTTAAAGGTAAAGACTGAATCTGGTATGAATCTGCACTTGGGAATCTTCCCATTTGAAGTCTGAATTCTGTGAAGCTTGTCTCACTGCTGGAGAAGCAGCGCAGCCTTGGACAAAGGCCTGGTGAATGGGTTTGGGCAGTTAACCACAAAGGAGGTAGGGAGGTGGTTCCTACCACCAGCTGAACTTCTCATCTTGAGCCAGGGCCGTCCATTCCCATACAAAATATGGGATCTGATGCTTTCTGTGGGGATTGGAGACCTGTGGATATGGTGGAAGTGAAGCCAGAAAAGAAATTGCAACATGGGTGTGTTTTTGTTGTTGGGTTTTGTGTTTTGTGTTGTTGTTAATTGCTAATCTCCAAGCTGCTCTACTGTAAAAGTAGTGGGGCAGGCAGGTTCCCTCCACAGCACAGGACAGAGCCCTTCTGACCGTGCCAGAGATGCACAGTGCAACCCTTGCTGGGCTGACTAAGGCCCCACATCAGTGTAGTTGTAATCTCCCAGCTGATGTTGTGATGAATGAAAGCATCAGATTTAGCAAATTTTCCCCCTTTGTTGGTTCCTCTTCCCTTTCCCTCACTTGTTGTGTTTTCAGAGGCTGATGCTGTGCTGGTTTACCTGCTCCTTGCTGCAGGGAGACACAACTCAGTTGTGTTTGCCAAACCATGCAAGCTGTGTCCCTCTTTAGAAAGGAAGAAATAGTTCAGTTAAGAAAAAAAAAAATACTCAGCCATGCTGTTGTGCTTTTTTTTCCCCTACACTTTGAATGAATTCCAAAAGTTTTCATGCTGAATAAAACATTTCTGCAGCGACCTTTGCTCTGCAGACTAGATTTAGATCCTAAGGCCCTTGCAGTTAATTTTTTCTTTTGCTCTTGGAAACGAATGCTTACATTATATGAAATGGAGCTTCTCCACTGACATTTGCCACGTGCCCTCTCCTGCTGGCAGCTGTCTTTGAGATGCACTGCAGTGTCTGTGTTCCTGCAATCTTCTTCTGATCCAGAATGCCAGTGTAACTCAGGTCAGGCTCCAACCACCTCCTCTGCACTGACGCAGTTCAGATCCTCCCATGCTGCTACTGCAGATGTTCTGGCACTGGAGCCTCGGACTGGGAGGACCACTGGAACACACGCAGGAAAATAACGATGGATCTTTAGTCCAGAAATGTTCCCAAAATATGGGCTGCAACTTTTTTAGATCTTATGGGCCACAATCATGTTTCAAAATGTAAGGGCAAGCTTGGAATTTATGTAGGAGGTCAAAATTCACCAGAGCTAAGCTGGTTCTGGTGTGTTCTCTCAATGAATCCTAGTGGTGAATTCCCAGTGATCCAAATTCCTTTTTTCTTCCACTTCATTTTTGAAGTTAATATCTGTGGTAGTCATAATTTTGGGACTACAGATTGTTTTCTTTGCGGCTGAAGTGGTTCTTCTCATGGAATCACCACGGTTGGGAAGGACCTCCAAGGTCACCCAGTCCAACCATCCACCTACCACCAAAATTTCCCCACTAAACCAACATTTCGACAATTCTCAACACTTCTCATCATTCATAGCAGTCAATCTGATCTTTTCCTGCTAACTTTTTTTTTTCTCTGAATTTGTAGGCAGTGATATGAATTGGATGGGGTGTAGTTGAGAGTGACGTAGAAGGGTAATTCATTTCTGTATGATACTTCCCAAATGAAAGCTATATTTTGTCACTCTTGTAGTCATTTAATTTGCTGCTTTTCCCCCTGCGATGCAAATGAAAGGAATTTGGTCACATGATGAAAAGGCCAGGAATACTGCAAATGAATTCCTCATTTCATTACAGACTTTGTCATTTCAGGTGAGTTGTACAGGTCTGGATGTAAATTACCCACCCATCAGATGCAAGTTGGATAGCTATGTTTTTTAACACTTTGTTTCCTTCAGATTTAAGTCCTGTAGAGCAGGTGATTTGTCTGCTTTTTACTCACAGTGCTTTTTCTAGATTGCAGAAGCTACCATTGACTTACAGCCTCCGGGGTACTGGAGAGAACTGGGTGGCTTTTTTGGTTGATCAGTTTATTTGCTTATTATTACTTTTGCTTCTAATAATAGATGAATTGTCAAGAGAAATTTCTACTTAATTAAGAAAAAAAAATTAATTCACTTGAAACAATGGAGTGTAATTGGCACGGGACAGTCTTTTCTGCTACAACAGTGGAATTACTCGGAGCAGTGCTGCAACACGTGAGTGTGAGCTCTGTGCTGCACGAAGGCTTTGGGGTTCTGCTCTATCTTCAAACTGGTTGGAGAGAGGTCATTCAGGTCAGATATGCTTCGGGAATAAGATGCTAGGTTCAATCCCTGCTGAAGTTTACCCACACTTCTCTTAATTGCCCTGCAGAGTATCAGGTGGTTTTTGTTTCCACTTCTATTTATTGCAATTGAGGGGCAAGGGCTGCTGTGATGGATGGGGTTGGGGTGAGCTGCTGGGGTGTACCTTGGGTTGAGACATGCATTAGCCAGTGGGTGAGGCGTGGGGCCAGACCTGCAGCTGGGTTGGCAAGGATGTGCACCAGCTGAGCCCTTGGCATGGTGAGTTTGGTAGATGGGGAGATACAGGATTGGTCAGCTGGCTCATGCTGTAAATATTTAGGCCTTTTTATTACCATTTTTAAAGAAATACCCCAAATCATGAACACAGCTGACGCGCTTGTTAGCATCTCTACAAGAAGCCACAGAGACTGGATTACAGACTTGCAGCGTGGGGGTCTTCCCTTCAGCACAGAAGCGGGGCAGCACGGATGGAGGTTTTCTTCCCTGCTGATACTCGTGCTCTACCTGCTGTACAGATAAACAGAGGGCTGAACTCTCCCAGGCTGGCTGTCTGGCACATTTCACAAGCACTAAAACTCACTTCAGGAAATACATCCCTTGCCAGGCATATAAATATTCTGACTATGCCACTGTAGTTTTCATGCTGTGTGTTAAAGTGCTCTGCATGAAATGTCCACACTCATAGCACTGGGCTTTATGTCTTCTTGCATTGTGTTCCCTGCCCACCCTACAGCTTGGCTTTCATTGTCATTCCCATCTTCCTGAAGGATCTGGCTTGAAAAAAGTACAGGCTTTGGCTCTTTTTGCCTCTTTATGTCAATCATCCAAAAAGGACTTTATGAGATACCCTTAAGGGAAAAGATAACACTTAAAAGCAGAACTGCATGAACAGCTTCTATCAAATTCCCACTGACAATTGTCCCATCATCTTAAGCAAACTGCACAACTCTGTGCCTCAGTTTCCCCATTAATGCCAAGTGCCAGCAGCTGCCTAGCTATGCAAATAGGAGGGCTCTTTTATTTTTTATCTTAATTCTTTCCTTTCCCTCAGATTTCTACTGCAGGGAGCGTTTCCAATACACAGCAGTGTTGGATCACTTGTATTCTATTCTCCTTCCTCCTTGTATGCCTGCCAGAGTAGAATAAATGTCTCAAACCTGCTGCTATGGAGCAAAAGTAGGAGCTGCAGATAGATGCAGCCCCTCTCAGCTCCCCATGTGCACCAGTCCCCCCTTCCAAGCCTCCAAAACCCACAATGATTGCTCCTCTTGTCCTAAGGAGTCAAAGTCCTTTGTTCACCGCTAAACCCTGCTCTCCTGCAAAGAGCTGCTGTTGTGCCATCTGTCTCTTTATGAATTTTTTAGTAGACTGGATGCTTGTGGGGAGCTGGTAACTTAGTGCTCAGTGCTGGCCATTTCCATTTAACAAGTGGTTCTCCCAGTGATTAACTTTTTTCTCCT